CAAAAGCAATCCCCAACAAACCTCCAGGCCAAGATGATATCATTCTTCAAATACGACTTGCCAAGAAAGCGCTAGAGGAGCATGTGGATAATATCAGAGAATCGATCTCGCAGGACGAAGTAACCTATGGCTGGCTTAGCAGCGGGGGCCTTTGGCCCAGTCTCTCGCCTGTGGCTTTGCTTGAGATGCTCCGAAACGACAATGTTGGAAGTCTAGGTCCCGATATGAAGGAAGCTCTCGTTTGGTACGGAGTGCTCATTACAAAACTCCAGCGTTTACAGAGAATGGACGATGCGTTCCGGTCTGATGACGAGAGGCGCCTCGTTGAAGAATACAATCATACAGGTCACTCCAATTGGCGTCCGCTTGAACAGCCGGAGTGGCTGCTTCTCGAAATCGACAATAACATCCTCCTGCGTCAAGCTCAAGTCGATGTAGCTCATGCTATTGTTTCGCCATCATCACGCAGCAACTCTGTGTTACAAATGAATATGGGTGAAGGTTAGTTTTGTCAATCATCCCTCTCAAGCTACTGGTACTAATCTAGAGATGCAATGTAGGTAAAACATCTTGTATCATGCCGATGGCAGCAACTTTGCTAGCAGACAAAACCAAGCTTTGCCGACTCATTGTTCCTCGCGCTTTGTTGTTGCAGACCGCCCTTGTAATTCAACGACGCCTCGGTCGGTTGATTGGACGCAGAGTCCAACACATTCCCTTTCAACGACGATCGCCTAAAGGGAGTGAGACTCTCGATCTGTATCAGAGAATCCACCGGGAAACTCTCACGTCCGGCGGAGTTATGCTTTGTCTCCCGGAACACATTCTCTCCTTTCAATTGAGCGGTCTCCAGCAACTTGCTGATAACGAAATGAAAACAGCCAAAAAGATGAATCAGATCCAGCAATGGCTCTATGAGAAGAGCCGTGACATTATCGACGAGTCTGATCTTACGTTGTCCGCTAAAACTCAGCTCATCTACCCAAGCGGTATTCCCGTCATTGTCGATGGACACCCTCAACGCTGGGAGGTGGTGCAAGACGTCCTGTCATTGGTTGAAGGCCACTGCTCGCTTCTCGAGTCAACACACAAAAAAGGAATCCAGATCTTCCGACGCCATCAGGGCTACCCCATCATCCATTTCCTTGATACCAAAGTTGAGGATGTTCTGAATGAGCTACTCGTCAAGGACGTTTGTGAGGGTCGCCTTGCGCGAGTGCAGTTAAAAGACCCCTCGGATGCGGTTGCTCGGAAAGCGCTTGAATTCATTCTTAATGGTGCCAAGGTTTCGGATTCGGGCTGGTCAACCGTGGCCAAGTGTTTGACCGACGAGGTCGTGGGATTAAAGTGCCTATACCTACTACGTGGCCTCATCTCGGAGCGCATCATTCTGCTCTGTTTAAAAAAGCGCTGGAACGTGCAGTTTGGACTTCACCCAGAGCGAGCACCCATCGCGGTCCCCTTCGAAGCCAAAGGCGTTCCTTCTCAAACTGCCGAGTACGGCCATCCAGACACGGCACTTACCCTGACTTGTCTCGCCTTCTACCAAACCGGCTTATCGAGGAGACAAATCACTCAGAGCCTAGAGTACGTCATCAGAGCAGATGACCCTGCTGCTCAATATGAGCATTGGGTACACGGCTGTGCTGCTTTGCCAGTCACGCTTCGACACGTCAATCTCCTGAGCGTAGATGACGAAGCGCAGATCGAAGAGTTGTGGAAGCACTTGTGCTTTGACCGACATGTCCTCAACCATTACATGAATCACTTTGTTTTCCCTCGACATGCTAAACAGTTCGGGATCAAGCTCCAAGCCTCTGGCTGGGACATTCCCCTAGTATCTCCCGGTTCCCCGTCTTACATGAAATCCTCACAGTCCCCGTGTCTAACAACAGGGTTCAGTGGCACGAATGACAACAAAAGGCTCCTGCCGCAGACGATCAAACAGGATGATCTGGCAGGCCTCGTCCACACGAACGCAGAAGTCTTAGGGTACCTTCTCGAAGACCGGAATAAGACATGTTACCAAGCGGTTGATGAACATGGTAAACAATTAAGTGAGAGGGGCTTGCTGGAACTTCTCAAGGAGAGGAAAATCAACGTTCTCATCGACGCTGGCGCCCACATTCTAGAGATGGAGAACCATGACCTGGCAGCAGCGTGGCTTGAAGTACACAACGAAGCTCAAGGCGCCGTATACTTTGACAAAAGTGGTCGCATCATGGTTTGTGCTCGATTCCAGAAGGCTCCTTTGCCGCTCCTCGCCAGCCCTTTCGCCGAGAACTTAGAGCAATGCGTCGTTTATGTCGACGAGGCGCATACACGAGGCACGGACATAAAGCTACCGCTAGGTGTCAAAGGAGCAGTCACTCTTGGGATGGGTCAAACGAAGGATCAAACCGTACAAGGTAAGAAAAACCACGGAAATAGGCCAAGGAAATTTACTAATAGAAAATCTCTAGCGGCCATGAGGTTGAGACAGCTCGCATCTACACAATCAGTAGCCTTCGTAGCTCCTCCTGCGGTCTACCAAAGTATTCTTGAGCTGCGACCTTCACATCTCAAGCAAGTCAAGAATTATCGAGTGAATTCTCATGATGTCGTGCGCTGGCTTCTTGAGCAGAGCTGCACGGCCAACGAAGAGATCATGTCCCTTTACATCGCGCAAGGGTTCGACTTCTGCCGCCGTGCCAACGCCTTCTGGAGAAACAGAAGCAAACTTGACAAGAAGAAGCACATTGACGATCTTCTTGAAGTGATCCGCCAACGCGAAGCTCAATCTATAGAGGAACTTTATGGTTCCAGGACCGCGGCCTCAGACTCAGTGCAAACTGACCTCGACTTTCCAAACCTCAACGCTTTTAACCGTAATCTTCATCAACAAATGCTCAACCTTCATCAGTCCGGAAGGCAATTCGAGGCATCTGCATTGGCAGAGGTAGAGCAAGAGCGGGAAGTGGAGTTTGAAGTCGAACAAGTCCGGGAGAATCAAAAACGGGGAAAGTTCTCGCCACTCTTGTTCCCTGGCTTGGACCCTCATATCACCCGATTTGTCGAGACTGGTCATTTGGATCACCGCGGGCCATTTATCCAAGCATTCAGCTTCATCGGAACCACCAATATAGGTCGAAAGTATGGTGTTTGCGGAACAGGAACTCGGCTGTTTGTCTCGCAGGAATTTACAAAAACAGTCACCAGCCGATCCAAGGCTGAACCAATGATGGTTGTAAGTAGCTCTCTCTGATTGCCATACATATCTGTTCACTAACCAGTAACTCCTAACAGCGCCCGGTCGAATGGATCCTCTGGAGCTCAACGACAGAGACGGCTCTTATCGTGATACCCGAAGAGGCTGAGCTTCTTATCGAAACACTTCGAACCCTCGATGAACCCCAAGTCTGGCTCTTGAGCTATGCTGCCCCGGTCACCAAGTCCATGAAACCATTCAACACCCTCAACTTCTTCAAGGTCCCATCCCTGAAGGAACGACCCGTCTTTCCAGCCTGGCTCTCAGTCGAAGTGGGTGTCGTTGCGGGGAGACTGTACTTTGATTACTCGGAGTACGAACCCCTCCTCGCGTGGCTAGGAGTAAATGGAAGCTTCGAGATCGTCTCAACCGATGCAACAGATCAGCTTCCGTCCCTTACGGCCTCAACTCATTGCGGACTGTCTATCGAAATGCCTCTTAAATTTCTCTTCGAGTGGTCCACCTACCGACGCGAAACTTTGGAAATCAAGCACACCCCGGTCGGATTCGTCTGTGCGAGCCGGGTTTTGAAGTCGGACCACTCCTTCTTCACGACAGTTACGGGGGCGAGCGAAGCCATAGATCAGCAGCCTGTCACTCTTCTTGCCAATGGACACCAGGGAGACAAAGACGACGACCACGAGAGTGATGATGACGTTGAGTGGGACAATCTGGATGATGGAATGGGTATGGATGGTGCTGCCGATGATGAGTTCATCTATGAAGAGGAATTGTCGAAGGGCGGGGCCGATGAAGAGAGTTTGGCCGATTGAGTGGCTTTTCCCCCTCTTATGTTGCTTTAGTCTACTATTTTTGCAGATGCCAAAATTTGGGATGACAAGGACAAGGAGCTAGTTGAATAGTGTCTGTACCTTGGTTTTGTATCTGAGCAGACTTGGACTGGCTAAAAAAATGGCTTTCTTTGTTGCTTCCGTGAAATGAAATACAGACGCGGCGTCATTTGGCACGAGAATAGTTTGAGGCGTCAAAAGGAGGCTTGATTAATATAATGACGAATTGTCGTACTCTTCTTCTCGATCTTTATTGATCCGCTTCGCTTGGTAGAGTGGGGAGTTTGAGCGTAAAAAGAAATTGCCTTTGCAATAGTTTATTAGGTATGGATAACCTCATTTTCCCAAAAAGGAATTGTCTTGCTTCCAAGTTCTGCCATGTTAGAAGCGGCCTTTCGTCCCATCCCGGCAGCATCTGGCGCCGGAGAAGGTCGGCGACGACCTCGGATTCCAGCTGCCGGGAATGCCACAGCCCGTGCCAACTGTGCTCCTCGAAGAAATATGGAAAGGATGTTCATCCATTGTCCTGGATCTTAGACTTCCTTCTTCGTGACTCTACTATTGTCACAGTGACGGTAAATTATGGGGAAGGGCCTTGATGGCCTTCCAGATGTGTTGTCGTATGATCTGGACTTAGACAACTGATATTACTAACTTTTCTTTTACTGTCTGAGAGTAAAGTAGCCGAGAATGCCTCAGTTGCATCATCGGAGACATCAGAAAGTGGCCGCGGTGACCTTGTCCAGGGCAGAAGATCCACCCAACGACGACATGAGAGGAAAAAGTCTCCGGGGGCAAAGGGATTCTCCATATACAAATAGCTGTTCAGAGTGGCTATGCGATCACACGGGAAATTTTTGAGCCACAAACATCTTTTGAATACAGACCATTCGCGCAACCAACCGATCCATTTCATACCGGCCCCATAAAGCGCCATACACAGGACCGACACAGAACAAGATATGGCCACTCCACTTGAGTTGTTTGTCCTCCCTTGGGGTGTGTACCCCAGGCGTATCCTCCTCTACCTTTCGGAAAAGGGTCTGATAGAGTCCCCCCTTATCAAAATAACGCCAGTCTCTTTCACACTAGAGGGCAAGATGGTTGGAGAGGGAAAGCCACCCGGCACAGTCCCAGTATTGAGACTCCCGGACGGGAGCTTCATCAAGCAGTCGGGGGCAATCCTCCAGTACTTTGAAGAGCTTTGCGACCACCCAGAGACCGATCAGCCCTGGCAGGCTGAGTTGGCAAGCCTAGCCAACAAGACGAACATGCTCGGCAACTCTACAACCGAGAGGGCACGCATCAGAGACATGATTTCTCTGACGGAGGAGGCCTGCAGTTACTTTGGGCTAGCATGCCACAAGGGAAGCAAGCTATTCGAGACATTTGAGAGGACCAGCGCGCTTGCGAGCAAGCTTATTCTTGAATACTGCATCAAGGATCTGAAGCTCCTGGATGCATACTACGCGAACCAGAAGAGCTTGGAAGAAGGGCGAGACGTCAACATACCTGATCTCATGCTCTTCTCACTGCTGCACTTCTCAAAGGATTTATATGGGTTGGACCTCTGTGCCGATGCTGGGGCGGCCAATCTGCAGAGATTTTACGATGAGTTTTCGAAGAGAAAGAGCGCAGAGGTCAAGGAGGGTCATTTCCCTGGTCAGATTATGGCATTGGCTAGCCAATGGCTTCCTCTAGATTAAGTGGCAGGGGGAACTCGAAGAGAGGTAGACAAATCGTTGACCTGTTGTGAGATAGAAATTATAGAACCTAGCTATGTGAAATTCCTGAATTTTGAATTAGATACGAGAATATCTTCTTCTTTGCTTGTCATGGGAAGTTACCGAAAGTCACCGAAAGCAAGATCTTCCATGTGTTCCCTGCCAGTTCCATCTCATCACAGTACCAGTGCATTTAGAGCCTGGAGTTCCCGAGATACATGAGGGGCACAATATCATCCAGTCTAAAGAAACGAAGGCCCTGAAACGAAGCGGTCGTCTCTTGGGTCATTCTCGTGTTTTGTTGTCGTTGTTATGTTTGATGTCTTGTGTTTTCTTTCGTTTTGTTTGTCCATTCCAACTGGGCAGAGATTATAGCAAGGCGAAATTTGCTCTCACTTTCCGCCCCTTCAATATCTTAATTTCGTAATATTTATTGATCGGGCTCCTGCGTCTAGTCTAGACGCCAAAGTGGACATAGGGAACCCAAAGCGGAGGGGCCATATCATCCTCGTCCGCGACCGCAACTATGTCTCTGTCTTCTTTTCTTAAGACATGTTTCATGACTTGCTGCTTGGTCCCGGTTGAATTAAATACTGCTGCCGGATGTGAGGCGATGTCCCTCGCATTACCCGTTTCCGAACTGGCCTTGTCACCCCCTTGATGTTCATCCCTGCTCCTTACCACCCAATGGCGAAGCTTTTTTAGGGGTAGATTATCCCTCACGACACCATTTCTTGTTTCAATGGGCAAACCAGCTGCATCACTAGCAGTTCCACGTATGATGCCCTCGCCTCTTGCCTCGGTTGTCTGGCGGTTTCTTTCTGCTTCGTCCATCTCATGTTGAATCTTAGTTGACCAGCGATCTCGAAGTAATTTAGAAGCAGTATGGAGTCCTCGTGAAACTGATTCGTCACTGCCTTCCCCATCCCTTATCCCCTCATACACCGTCTTGGCTACATCAACACATATCTCGTCATTAACTTCCCAAAGTGTGCCAATGACATGGCGGAATCCGGCAAGCTGGCATGAGCTGATCAGATGGATGCTTTCGTCCATTAACCTGCTTTGCTCGTCTATGCGACCCGTACCGCAAGCCGACAAATAAGCCAAGAAGGGAGGGTTCATGTGCAAGTTTAGTTTCAGTAGGTCATCGACAGTTATGGGATCATCAGGACCGTCTTCGGGGCAGAGATAACTTTGCGAAGGGTTCAGTTGATTGGTGCACGCGTGGCCCGCAAAGTGGAAAATACGACAGTTTGGCAACTGCTGTAGGAGAGCACCCTTCGACTTTGGTGGGTTGTCAACTCTCAGGCCCATTGAAGTGCAGAGATTTGTCAAGTTGTTTATCTCTTCAGATGCATATGGTAGACGTGATAGATGGGGCGTATTCTCCATCGCAACCAAGACCGCCTTGCCAGAGGGGAACGACGGCTGTGTAAGGCGACGGCGGCCATATATAAGTGCGGTGATTGATGAGCTGTAGGATGATACAACTCGATCAATGACCGTCCTTGCAGGGTCTTCGACGTGGTAACCCGCTGCATGAAGCGGAAATTTGCTCATACTGCCGACTGGTACCCACCACACATGAGGCCAGGTATTTCCAGTGACTGGGTCAAAGTATCCAAGAGCTTCTAGGACCTGTCTTATACCACCATCCCATAGCCATTTTAGGATAGAGGGCTTACTTAGATGCCCCTGTTTAAGCTTCCCTTCTACTACTCCGTGGGAAAAACCAGGCAAGCGTATAGCTCTGATTTGATGTAGTTCAACCAGGATCGCCCAACCACAGAACGTGCCGCTGTTGATGATTGCAACGGGCCCGCGAGAGGCAGCTTGGCGATAATCGTACTCGTTCAGTGGTTGAAAGCCAGGCATTTTACTGATGTCCTTCATGATCTGTCCAAACTCAATCCCCGCATGGTATCTTTCATCAGTCGGAGATTGACTACTAGGAGGCAAGCGTTCGTCGTCATCAACTGACTCTGCCTGCATGGCAGGGGAGGCTGGTAACGCAGAGCTAGTAGCGGGGCCCGATAACTGATCTCTGAGCCTCAAAAGTCGTTTTATGATCTGTGGGTTTCTTTCTTCCAGCTTCAGAATGTCAGTCCTTCTGGTGTCCTCGACAGACTTGCCGAATGCCCAACGTCCTCTTTCAAGCACGTCTAATGCCACCATAGGTTCTTTGCCCAAGTCGAACGCCTGTGATGCAGCCGAGGAAGCTATTTGAACCATGGCTCGAAGTACCCACTGCTTGTCCGAATGCTCAAGCGAGTTCGGCAGCATCCTTGGGAGAAGATCAATCACGCGGCACGACATCTCAAATCCTCGTTCCAAATCTGCTCCAAGATTACATGTATTGATGAAATCTCGAGCGGTTTCTATGAAATGCATGTTGTAATATTGATAGTTGCTGGTCAGGAATTTGCCAAGTATGTGTTGAGCTTCTGCCAAGTCGGCCCCTCGGTTAACATGCTGTTCCCTCGCAAGGAGATAGGACCCAAGATATGTTGCATTAATGATTTCTTCATAGCTGCCGACCGGAGAGAAGCTGATTGCAATCCTCGCAGTATCAATTGCCTCATCAATATCATTCAGGTTCATTGAGTTTTCATACCGACTGCGAAGTGTGCTTGAGAGGTAACTCCAGGCATATGGCTTATATTTCCCTGTGGCACATTTGGCTGCGTCTCTGGAGACTTGAATGGCTTCGTCCAATTCTTTTATCGATTTCGACCGTTTGAAGGACGTCAAGAGAGACGAGGTTAGAATAGTCAAACTGAGATATCGCGACATGTCATTCGAAGCAGTATCTACCGCAAGCCTGCTCATGCTGATTGCTTCTGCCATTTTATCTGCGGTATAGTCTCTAGATATTGATGAAATGAGCGTATCTGCGTATAATCTGAGCCTGTTAGAGCGATCGGGGTGGCTAGAAGATGTCTCATCTACCAGTTGCTTCGCTATGCTAATCCGCTCCGTCAAGTCTGAAGAGGAGTGTGTATTTAAATATCGAATTTTCAGCAAGAGCACGAGGTCGGTCAAAATAGTGCCCCTAGTCAAGCTATCCCTTGGAATAGTGTCAATTGCCCTTCTTGCAAGACTGACGGATTTCTCGAGGTATTTCAACTCCCGGGTGATATGATAGAGTTGAGTAAGACATTTAATTAGCTGTAGGATTGGTCTCGTATCCCATAAGCAGTCATCCGTTGCGAAGTTGGCAGCCTCCATAACTATTTCGGCACCGTCCAATACCTCAGAAAGGGGGCACACTTCTTCAGACCAGTGAGCGAGATAATCACCGTATAAGATTCGCCATTGCGCTTGCTCTGGCAAACCCGCTGGACAAAGCTCAATAGCCTGTCTGATGAGGCGAAGAGCCTCTGTCAACTCAGTGGCACCGCCGGTTTTCTTATGCCAGCAGAACATGAACCACGAGAGATCTTTCAAAATGTGTATATAGCTGTAATGATCAGTTAGGATCGAGACAAGCAGCCGGTGTGCTATCTCAGTAGCCTTTTCATGGACTTCTTCCGCCTCTCTAAGAGATTCAATTGATCCTGTTTGGCCATGCAAATCATGGAGAAAGTCTCTGAGCGTAAAAAGGCTAGTATACTCATCTCGGCTGTTTTTCGGTGCCGAAGCTGAAGCATTTCTAGCTAAGGATATTGCTTCTTCGAGGGCGGATAACTGTCCAGTCTCCTTATAGTAATGCTCCAGGCAGTCTTTGAGTATTTGCCTCGCCTCGTCACACCCTTTTGGCATTTGGACTCCTTGACGTGCCGCGCGTATTCCTCTCTCCAGATAGTCCAATGCCCTTGCCTTGTCGTGATCAGCCGTCATCATATATCCGTTGAAAAGAGTAAATGAGAGGAAGCTAAGAGATTGAGACTGAAGGGCACGGGTGTGACTGCTCCTGGTGGCTGACTCTGCTAGTCGTACTGCTTCCTCAGCACAATGGTGCTGGCCCGTTATCTGGGATCTGGAATAGTATAAGAGACAGAATCTCTGGCAGGTCTCTGCTTCAATTCTCTTTCGGGGTTCATCGTCAAGAATATGTCTATATAGACGCCTTGCTTCTTCAAAGTCATCGTCGTTCCTTGTAAATCTGTACCGGTCTGCAAGGCACATTGCCAGATCGCTCAAGTACGCATGGTGTAGTGGAAGGAACGCAACGTTTCGTTGAGCCAGCCGCATGGCTTCGTCAAAGTCCTTCATTTGCTCGGTTTCTCCATAGCGACATCTGGCAACCCAACACGCACGATGACGAAGGATAACTTGAGGCCAGTTTACCAGCAACTTTAGCCGATGACGCCAAATGATAATCCCGTCCGGGGCCTGGGCTTCCTTCATTTTGTGGCAGGCGATCCTCCCTAGGGAAGCAGATTATGAGCCGGGCGCTTCGCGATCTAGATGATCTCGACCTTTGACGAAGATGACTGCCCAAGTCGACCGAAAATTTCAGGTCAGATGAGGGGTGGTTTGGAATTTGTCTCAAATCTGATAGGTCCCGTCACGTATCAGCTGACAGGCGCTTACGTGGTGCAATGCCTTGTGCGGCCCATTCTCAAGAAAAGCACCAATATTTTCGTGTTGAATCAGGAAATGTGCGAACCAACCAACGAAACCTTCTTGCTGCCCGACGTTTGGAGGATGACAAGAGACGTGCTACCTATCCTATCAGGCTGTGGTGCTTTGAAAGTGTCGTTTCTGTCACACAAATTAAGGCAATGATAACTCTCCTATAATGAGGCCATGCAATACCAAAAAACGCCCGGTTGTTGATGACAACTGGCTTCGTCTGGGGAAACAATACATCTCCGGCAGGGGAGATATATTCCCGCAATTAGGAACTAGGGCAAAGTCTTAAGCTTATTAATGCTATAGCGGGAATAGCCTTCCATAACTCCGGAGGACATTCCAGTACCCTAGCTTGCCTATCGGATTTTGTATCTTGCTAATATATCGCTGTAATAAACCCTACCGGTCCTTATATTCAGCTTATTCATTAAGGAGCTAGGTATATAGGCCCAGCTTGTATCTTCTCCCTTGTGGGCTTAGCCTTTTCTTCTTCAATTTTGCTAAGACTTGATGCAACTGATGCCTCGCTCACCAAATAACAACTAATGCCACCTCTCCGCCGCGATCGCGCTCAGGTTGTATGCGTATCCTGCCATGCAAGAAAGGTGAAGGGCCGCAATACCATATACATAACTTTGGCCTAACTGACCTTTTCATTTCATCGAAGGTGCGATGCAACCTCCAGGAAAGCCCGACCCGGAAATGCCAAAACTGTCGCCGCCACAATGTTGATTGCGTAGTGAGGACCGGGCCTCGAAGTGGACCACTGGCTGAGGCTTTACAATCATCGGCAACAGGAGCTAGAGTCCAGCAGGTCGGTGCTGAATCTAACCTCGCCACTAATGTCCAGTCGGCGGCGAGATCTGATGAGACAGGAGGTGGTTCCCCCCTTGCAGCGTCTCAGAACAACAAGAGCAGGCTTTTAAGCTCTGTCGGCGATCATAGCTTGTTGGCACACGATGCGTTGAAGGGCGTTGAAGTCAAGACTGGCCCGCTGGCCCTATTCACGCCCGAGACAAGTCCTGTATTACGGTTTGCAGAGGCTACAGCCTTGCCAAAAGCAGCAATGCAGGCAGCCTTGACCGAGTCTTATTTTCAACACGTCTTTCCTCGCTATCCAGTTGTAGACCGAACAGAGCTGGCCGACGCTGGATGTTCCCTGTTGATGAAACAAGCTGTGTGCATGGCAGGCAGTCTGATGCGCCATTCATCCTCAGCCGACGGCCTAGCACTATCACTCTCGCTTTATGAGAAGACAAAGTTGATGCTTTTCTTAAATTTCGAACCTGATCCTGTCACCAACCTGGCTGTTCTTTGTCTGATGATAGGCTGGAATCCCCATCCAACGAATGTACCTAGCTTGGACTGTCCTTGGCAATGGGCTGGTACTGCTATCCGGCTGGCGTTACAATTGGGCATGCACAAGGAGGCTACTTATGTCAACCGATCTGATGCCAGTCGTCTGCGTCGTATATGGTGGATTGTTGTGGTATGTCCGACTTTGGCCTCCTCGACCTCGCTGGACTAATTAGAGAGACAGAATGCAGATAGGCAACAGACAGTCTGTTTCGGGCGACCCCCAGCCCTACGATGGTCCGACTGCGATACAAAACGACCATCTTTAGCAGACTTTGAGCAAGAAAATTTATCCAGCCATATATTTGTCCATTATGCACATGTCATTGCGAATTGGTTCGAGATTGCCGATCTTGGAATGCGGGGAGGGCCGGTCACACCGGCTGGAATCAAGAAACTCACCGACTGTCTCTGCACCTGGGTTTCGGGATTGCCGGAAGAAATTAAACTGTTCGGCCCTACGGGTTCTCGATGTGCCTACAGTCAGTCCGTCTCCGAGCTGCACATGGTCTACTTCGTCACCATCATCCTACTCGAGGCACTCAGTATCAAGCGCTATGAGTGGTGGTCCGCGTCCATACCTGCCATTGTTGCTGGTTCTGCCATTGCAAGATTGATTGAAGAAGTAGATTGTCGGGATGATTTGAGTTCTATGTCTGCGGCAACGACCTTCTATATGCTGGCTGCTGGCATCCCACTAATCTATCATCACACTGACAACGCAGAGACAAGACACAACCGGCAGGAGGATCTGCAGACTTTGCATTCGGCTTTGGAACAAATGGCCTCCAAATGGGGCGGCGCCGTAGTTGTAGGGGAAAACATTAAAAGGATCCGTCATCTGGTTGAACGACAGTCTGCAGAGCCGATGCATGATGTGCTGGAGCAAGAAACATCTTATATCCCCCCACCACAACGATATAGACTTAAGGAAATGTTCCCATTTCCCGAAACTCTCAGTCCAAGTATGGCCTTGCTGAACGAGGGAGTCGACGACGCAGTGGACTTTACCCACCTAATGCTGCCACCAGGGGATGACGCGTTCTCATGGGCCAACAATGATGCTCGGTTCTTTAGCCCTTTCCAGCTCAATATGTATGGCGATCCCTTCGACTTGGGGGACGAAGCGTCTGGTTTACTGAACTCTACAGCATGTGATTTTCGTAGCATATGACAAAAGATATTCACAGACCATCGAGTGTTCCCAGTCCGCTTTACTCTGCAATGTTATACACTAAAAAATATTACATGTAATTTGGCGGTAAAGAGCCCATCTCCCTGTTTTAGCTTTGTGCTGACATTAAATACTGGGAAAGATACAGCTCTATCTTGTACAGCCCGAATTGAACTGAATGGTTTTGTTAAAATGTCAACTTGGAATTACCTACGGCAAGAACACTGTTAAATCTTACCAATTTGGATCGTGTATTTCTAATCGTGTTTCGAAGGAGTACTACGCAAGAAAAACCTGGGACTGACAGTCCTTCAAAGTTCACCCTCTACTGTGTACACCAGCTTCCTCCCACTGACTTTGCCACCTCGCATCAACTCAAACCCGTTGATGACATTTTCCAAGCCGCCCTCGACCTGCCGTGGATGAGCCTTCAAAAATCCCTTCTCCAAAAGCTGCTCGGCAAGTAGCATCCATTCCGACACAAACTCCAAATTGCGTGAGGAAGCCGGAAATTCGTCTGAACCCTTCTTCACCCGCTCCCCGACGGAAAGATATGCCAGCGGATAAATCGTTTCAACATCATCCCGCGGAAACTTTGTTCCAAGGAGAACATAAGCCCATAAACCGCGAGGGGCAATCAACTGACCGCAGAACTCTGCCGTGGTTGTCGTGGAGACGGTGTCGAAGACATACTTGAGCTTTCTATCGCGACCAATATACTGCTTGATCTGACCAACAGTCTTTATCCTTGTAATCAAACGCCGCCGCCGCCCCGACTGACTTGACAAACTCGAAATTGTGCCTCGAGCATACAGCAATTGGCGTTAGACCAGCGCTGGCAAGGACCTTTAGTACCTGGCTGTAACCCGGCGAAAAAAAAGGGGGGGGCGAGTGGTTTTTTTTCGGAGGGCGAATTGTAACATGGACTCTGGACTCACAGTTTGGCAAATTGGATGGCAATGCTGCCGGTCGCCGAGCTTCCTCCATAGATGAGAATGAGTTCCCCAGAGGTGGGCAATGGGCTGTTGGGCACTGGACGACTCAGCCCCATCTGCATGAAGAGAGCTTGCCCAACGGTTATGACACCGACTCCCAGAGTCGCAGCCTCGTCAAATGGCATGTTGTCCGGAAATCGCAGTCCAATGTCGGCCTTGACCACGATCTGCTCAGCAAAAGCCCCGTCCTCGGCTTCAAGCTCGTTGGCTCCATGTGCAAAGCCACAGATCCGATCGCCTACTTTCCACTCCTTGGAGTATCCTGAGCCAAGTTGGCTCACAAGCCCAGCAAAGTCGCAGCCCGACAAAAGGCCTTTGTGGTTCCAGGTGTCGATATGCTTGTGGTCTGTTGGGTTTAGGGCCACGGCTTTGACATCGACCAGCAGGTACCCGGGTCGGAGTCGAGGTCGTGGACGATCATTTACGCAAGTCGCCTTGCCTGCCTCGCCGGTAAGGATGATGGCCTTCATGGTTACACGATAAGTAATCTATGTATATGTTGAAAAGGCTACACGAGTGATACCTCACTTTCTCTCTTTCGTACTGGATGAGAGGAGCTTGTTATACCATGATGCATTGCGGACAGAGTTCTCGTATCCGCAAGACCCAACACCACGTTGCGAACATAAAGATGTACTTGTCGCCGATTGAATGGCCCAATTTGTCAGCTGATTCTTCCCCGCGTGTGCCGAGAACCAAAAGAATCTGACTCGGCCCAAAGTGAGCCGGATGCTCTTCGCCGCACTGCACAGTCATTGTCCATACGTTGTTCGGCATAGATTAACGGCACATCTCGGTGTACCGAGACCCACAGCTGAACACATAAATGACACCGGTTGCGTCCGACATAACGACTATCCCTGGCATCGAATCTATATAAAGATATGCTTCTAAGAACGCATTTTTTGGAGAACGATAACAATCATTTATCTCAAAATTAGACAGAGACAAAAAAAACAGTTACTACACCATGGCCTCTCAATTTGAAAATCGGCTCTTCATCAACGGCGAGTTCAGGACATCAAAGTCGGGTAAGACATTCGATATGATCAATCCTGCAACCACCGAGAAATTAGGAGATGTGTACGAGGCCGGTGCGGACGATGTAGACATTGCTGTCGCAGCAGCCAGTCAGGACTTTGAGTCATGGTCCGAACTCCCTGCTGCCACTCGATCTCAGTGGCTTAATCGCTTGGCTGACAAGCTTGCCGAGAATGTTGAGGAGATGGCGCGTCTGGAGGCGCTCACCATGGGCAAACCAGTTGACGGCGAATTTGTAAGATTCTGTTTCTTCACCCCCCCCCCCCCCCGGTACGTTTTGCAACTGACCAGTCGGCAAATTATTAGACCATCACCTGGGGTATCAGCGTCATACGTTATTTTGCCAACCGAGCCTCAGACATCCAGGGCGAGACTTCCACGAGCGAGCCGTCGTTGTTCGGGATGACAATTCGCCAGCCCTTCGGGACTACAGCCGCCATCATCCCCTGGAACACGCCCTTCTTCATGCTGAGCCTGAAAATTGGTCCGGCGCTTGCTACAGGAAATACGATGGTCCTCAAGACCTCAGAGAAGAGTCCACTATCGTGCCTTGTTGTTGCGAGATGCATGCAGGAGATTGGCTTCCCCAGTGGCGTGCTTAATATCCTCAGTGGCTTTGGCCAGCCCTGTGGCGAGGCCTTGGCCAAACATATGGATATTCGAAAACTGGCATTCACGGGCTCTACAGCAACAGGAAAAGCGATCAAGAAGGCGGCAGCCGATAGTAACCTGAAGAATGTCGTCCTCGAATTGGGAGGCAAGTCGCCACTCATCGTCTTTGAGGACGCCGACTTGGCCAAGGCGGCTGCCGACGCTGCCTTCAGCATTACCATGGTCTCCGGCCAAGCATGTATGGCAAGTTCGAGAGTGTATGTGGAAGAAAGCCGTGCCCAAGAGTTTCTGGACCTTGTAAGACTACCACTCCCCTCGCCCCGCTGATCTCTAGAGCATAAGTCATGCTAACACCCAATTTCTCCTAAGTTTATAGTGGAGATTAAAAAGAGAGATGGTAGTGGTGATCCGCTCGTGAGCGGCACGGTCTTAGGTCCGCAAGCAGACCGGCTCCAGTATAATCGGGTTCTGAGTTTTCTCAAGCTCGCCAGAGAAGAAAAGCTCAATGTGGTGCTTGGTGGTGATCGAGAAGACAGGACCGGGTACTACGTTCAACCTACCATCATATATAACCCTCCGGAGAATAGTAGGTTGATCAAGGAGGAGATTTTTGGACCCGTGGTCTGCATTTGCACTTTCAGGGAAGAGGCCGATGCTCTCCGTAGATCCAATGACACAGAATTCGGACTTTACGCCAGTGTCTACACCAAGGATCTCAAACGGGCACTGAGGGTATCAAGGAAGCTCCAGGCCGGCACTGTGGGCGTCAACAGAACTAGCCCCACATCAACACTTGATCTGCCTTTTGGAGGCTGGAAACAAAGCGGCGAAGGCAGAGAGCTTGGGAAACATTCATTGGATAGTTGGACAGAGTTAAAAACCGTCTTAATAGGAGTATGAAGATTTGGTGGGTAGAAGAAAGATTCCACAGGTGTCTATTGCACCAGGGGTGGAAGCATAAGTAGATATCTGGAGGGAAGGCCAGACTAAACTAGTTATTATAGAGTATAATAAGACCTCTCTACGAAAGGGATATATAGCTAAAAGCTATCGTAAGGTATTAGAAGAGGTCCTTCTTCCTATTTATAACTCAATAGCAAGAACTGGGGATTAAAGGAGGAGGGCCAACAAAGCGAAATAACTCCGGTACGTCTGTCCAATTGAACATCGACCTAGACCAAGCACCCTAATCTGCCTTCTAGGGAATTACTCGGGGTTATCTGCCTCCAGCTCGTTATAGCCGGTTACCAACTGCCGGCCAAGTACGTCTGGGCTCTCACGAAGATGCCTTGCATAGCCACGCGTTGGTTTGGATCCGCAATAATGAGTCACTGCGCCGTCGTAAGTGTAATCTAGCGCCTGAGATGTTGGAACGAGACTCATTCTCGTTACTTGTAAAAAAGATCACGGAGACGAGGACGAGAAACGACGGTTTGGAAACCAATCGAGCGCCAGAAAGGTTTAACCCTGATCGTGGAAATGCCCTCGCAAAAGAAACCAATCATCCAAGGCCACGGGAGCGGCACGGCAAATGAGACTCTGAGCACTGCGCCCCTCTTCTTCCACCACGAGGACCGGAAATACGGCGAGTTCAGTCAGTGGTACGGCTCCAGCTTCGTCGTCAGCAAGCTGCAAATCTCCGCCCTCGTCGGGCAGCCTGTGAGCTCCTTCTCCTCCCCGGACGACTACAGCGATGACATCTCATTCGTCACGGCGGAGCAGTTCATGATGTTCTGTAAAGCGGTCTGCTTCGGGGATCGTAGCATTGCCGCGCAGATCCTGCAAACCCGGGACCCGAGGGATCAGAAAGGCCTGGGCAGAGCCGTAGCTGGTTTCGACCCCGTCAAGTGGGATGCGGTCAAAAGCGCTGTAGTGGCGGCGGCGAGCTTGGCAAAGTTTGGCCAGAACGAGGAGTTGAGAGCTCTCTTGCTGGGTACGGGACGTAGAGAGCTCACTGAAGCTGCCCCTAATGATCGGATCTGGGGCATAGGATTCAGTGAAAAGGACGCGAGGAACATGCGTAGCCGGCGCGAATGGGGAGAGAATCTACTTGGGAGGGCCTTGGTGGTGGCCAGGGAGACTCTGCGGATGGAGGACAAAAGGCACCTCGAAGGCGCAGCCGGCCACCGCTGATTGTATGTCTATATCCATCTGGTAGTCAAGGGTTGCAATATTCTTAAATGAACTCCTGGTAAGCTTATTCTGGATTGTTCATCCGCTTGGGGCACCGCTCTAACTGGATAGGCTACGAAAGTGTGCAATGGTTGCCATCTCGCTGACGGCGTCTGTTCCCTCCGTCTCAATTTGAAGCAATTCAACGCTGGAAGGGATGTTATGTCGGTTGATAAGATTTAGGAGAAGTACGCTGATGAGGAGCTGGGGCGTATAGATGAGGAGAGTCAGTTGTATTATACCGGCTGCATATGCAGTGTAGATCAGGTCCAGATCAGCCTAGATTACCTGCTATAATACTTCTATGACCAATATTGTCAGCCATTCAACACAATGAGGGCAGCAGAGAACACGGGCATGACTGTCTCCAGGCATACCTGTCCATCCTTGCGCACCCATCCAGCCTCCCAGGGTTCATGGTGATTGATGCTGAGGAGCTTTGCCTGGGCCTACACGACGCCTGCATGTCTTCGCTAAACCTCACTAATGAGGTGATGGTCGTAGTAATACCAGGTCGCATCCAGAAACGAAGACGAAACATTGATCTCCTTGGCTGTACGGCGATTATGTGCATACAAAGCCTGGTGTCATCCAGCCCTACTGCCTTAATCGTTCTACGACAAGCTGGAGCACGTATCATTCGGGCAGGTCGGGTATCAGTCCTCCCACGCCAGCAGATTCTCCGGCCACTTGCGGCATAGCATGCGTTCGTGTCTCGTAAAGTGAGCCAATGGCTGGACCAGTTGCCAGAAGGATTCATGACTACATGCTTGTTCAGCTGCCCAGTTAATACCGAAGGGCACGTGCGGGAATAGCAGGTTTTAGATCTCCCGCAGATGCTAAATTTGGATGATCGACCCCTCACTCAAATCAGTCGGCAGTCGGCATGATGCACTGGCCTTTGGTGCTAATCAGATTGGCCTTTGGTGCTAATCAGATCAACTGCCGTATGATGAAGATACCAGAGTTTTCAATCATGTACGTACGAACGAGTGTTGGTGTAGAATCAATAGTTAACCCAAACCGAGTCACGATTACAAGTGAGAAAACCACTTCTTCTAGAGCAAACCAACGCTCACCAACTCTGCAACAGTGGCTCAGCGTAAAAGCGGCACAGCTACATTCGGCCTCAACTACTGCTACGAAATACGGTGGTTCGCTAGATCTCCTAGTGTGACTCCTTGACAGTTCAGCTCCTAATCCCTTCGGCCCCTCTAACTATGTGCCGCATCTTTTTCTGTCCCATCTCCATCTCCCACTGAGGGGAAGCTATCCTCCTTCCAGATTGCTTTCTCGGCGACCACACATTACATGTTTCACACCCTTTCCAAGCCTCTACCCAGTCTCGCGCTTGGACCAAGCCCATGAGACGGGATCCGCACCCCAACCACTGAGACGCATGCCATTTGGTAGACAGGCAAACAGGATCGAGGCTTTGCCGCATCTCAATGGCCGCTCTTCTCAGCTAGGCATAACCCCAGCATGGAGCAGGGGATCTTGAGATATTCTGAGAACCGGCAATGGCTGCTACACCAGGTCTAGAGTCTTCATTTTTGGATATATATCACAACCTACACCCCGTTTCTGTTAGCATTCATCCCACTCACCATCTCCTCATATTCATACTAAATCTTCTATAAAGATCAAGAGCCGGCCTCTTTGTTCACTTTCTATTCTCCTGTCTTATCTTTACAACACAAAAGTACAAATCCACCTCATCACAAGCCCGCAACAGCCACTTCCCTAGTACCAACAAAGACCAACCAAATACACAAACTATCCAAAATGGTGGCCATCAAGCAGATCGTCCTCACCGGCATTGCCATGCTCGGTATGGCCCAGAACGTTGCCGCATTTGCCCCCGCCGAGAGCTCCATGGCCCTGAACAGGCGATACATGGATGAAGACCTCCCCTTCGAGGTCCGAGCCGTCCTGGACGGCAGCCACCCTGAGGTTGCTGTCCTCAACAAGCGATTGTTCGTCGGTATGGCTCTCAAGGCTGGCCGCAAGGTCCTCGGCGCCGGCGTTAAGGCTCTAACCCGCCACAAGCGCGACGTCGATGACGAGATGGTCATGGCGGTCCGCGATATCATGGATGACACTCCTGTTGTTGAGTTCCAGGTCCGCGCCTGGGATGAGGATCTCCCCATGGAGGTTCGCGACGTCTTGGAAGACAGCCACCCCGACCTGGTCATGGTCAACAAGCGATTGTTCGTTGGTATGGCTCTCAAGGCTGGCCGCAAGGTCCTCGGCGCCGGTGTTAAGGCTCTTACCCGCCATTAAGGTGGCTTTGTGAGGACGATGTTGCGTACTGCTCGTCAGTTTCCTACCGGATCACCTCTTCATTTCTTTTTTCTTCTCTGTCAATGCATAGAAAATGTGTGCGGCAATTGTCTTTAGCGATTGTTTATGATGATTTTTCGGTTTTCATTTCTTCTTTTCATCTTCTATTTTATCTTGGTTTTTGTGCGAGGATATATGAGCGTTAGATGCTATCTTGTCTGATAAATATATACCCTAGTTTCAAACTTCATTTCATTGAGCATTGTCTATCGGCGATATTCTCTCTGTGCGCACAATATTGATTCCATCAGTATCTAAATTCTTTACTATTTTGTTAGATTATACCTTGGTAATGTAAATTCATTTTCTTGTTACATAGTGGATTGACTGAGTTCTAGGTGCTTTTTTGGACAGTTGTATCCTAAAGACTAAGCATCCAACTCGCATTGGAAACAAACACTAGATGGCCAAAGGTTTGGTTAGGCATCGAAAGTCTTCCTTTACAGTTGAATGAGTTAGGATCAGAGTTCAATACGGGTTAGCGAAAATACTTTTCACCCAGAGAATATGTCTTCTTCGAGAGCTTCATTGACCCCAATGGGCACTTTCATAGACCCAAATACTCCTAGTCTTCTCTACGAAGTAGTTAGATCCTTCATAGTAAACTCCAAGAATACGATGTTATTCTAATGGTTCCGCTCTGTCACTAGTTGAGTGTCTCTCTTTTTAATGTGTCTTATCAATTCTATCAAATAACAACTATAGATAGAGATAGAAATTAGCTTCACCAGCACGGCTCAAAACCAGCACCCAATGTCTCAACTTTCGAACTATCAATTGGTTGTGAGGACTAGATGAGATATGAGGGCACGATCCATCGTTCACCTAAACTGCAGCCAAAAGGCAAAACCACACTACCTTTTTATGACTTTTCAAACCTAAATACCCTGCGAGAGGTCGACATCCCCGCGGGTGTGTAACCGAAGAATGTAACCGAAGAATCTGACCTTAATTAAATTTGAAGATCATAAGATCATACCATAGGTAGACTCTTATGCGGTAAACCTTGAACTTCCGTATGCAGCCAAAGAATTTAAAATGTGGAAAGAGCTCCAGATATTCTAAATACGGTTATTCAGTTCTGAGCATATGATTGCGAGATGTGGCATTATTGTTGCTGAGGAAGATGTTGTAGAAATGGACAGGGGCTCAACTTAAGTCAATCGAACGCCTCCCCAATTGTTAACAACATAAACTCAGATGAGACTTCCAGCATCCCCATACACTCAGTCTCTTGATCAAGAATTGTGACCCGATCTACTAAATGGTGGTTGGTCCATTTGGCACGGTTTGGCGGATACCCTAGAGCGAATTGAAGCCGTGCTTTGAGACGGGGGCTTGAATGTCAAGGGTGTTAAGCTTCCCCTCAACTTAATCGACCTAAGCCGGAAGAAGTCTGCATCCTTGGAGTTATTGTTCGCTCATTATAATTTCACAAGAGAACTCCAATGCAGCGAATTGTGGCCAATCAGGAGGAGAATCACCGTTGATACTGCTTACGTTGATATGTAACCATGGAGTATGAACTAGCTGCTCTGGATAATAATATAAGATTGTGATATGTGATATTTACGGGTTGTATTTACCAAGGTGACTCTTCTGCTAGCGTATTTACTCCCATGAGCTCCAACTCCCCTCTCTTCCTTGGTAGGATTGCAACCACCATCAAGATGAGTCTTCGAGACTCCGGTTGCTGGTATCCGGTGCTTCTGGGTGCTCCCAAATACACGCCAGAGAAGAAAGCATTTTAAACTCCGAATTTGATTTTCTTTTAGATTAAGTATAATTGAATGACGAAGCGAATTCATGAATTTCATGTACAGCCCAGCTATGAAATTACTTGCTGTGTCTTGATATTTCCCACTGCGTGTGGACTTTAATTCCATCCCCAGAGGCATTGTGCGCAGCCAGTTTCCGGTCTGATTCAGCAGACAGGCTAGGATTAGACCCAGCCTCGACGTTTGTATCAAATTTGGTATAATTATCATCGGCGTTGAAAGTAGCGAGCGTGATGTCGTCGCGACCCATTTTCCTCGAGTTTTGTTTCGATCTACCGGATCGATATGCGCCGCTTCCACCGATGGTGTGAGTGGCTTCGTCGCTTAGTTTGGTGGCACCAGAAGAGCCGAAGCGAGCTCGGTAGCTCCTGTAGAGAGGTCGTAGCATGGGTATCGATACGCAAAGGATGGCGAAGTTCGGTTCCAGCGTTGTCAGTAGTAGTGATGTACCCATCGTCTTGGTCAAGTCCTCGCGCATGTTGACTGTTGACACGTAGTGCACACGGACGGAACTGACAACGATGACAGCTCCCAGCAGAAGGAAAGATGTCATCAAGCCAATCTTCTCCATGAAGCGCATCTGGAGCCCCCAGATGATTTCTACACGGGAGACATCACGTTAGGGATCGACTAAGATACACACTAGAATGACGATAGGGGCTTATCCAACTTACTCATTGGCAGGATCATGATGATGAGATCCGTGAGCATGTTGCTGATGATCATGGATTGGAAGATTGGAATTTGGTTACCACAGGTTCCTTCGCCAGACAATACTAGCTCCATCTTCCACTGAGCAGGTACAGGTTTGCAAATGAAGACATTCGCGAGGAAGTGCGAGACAAACCAACACAGGCACAGTATCATGGTACCGAAAACCAACCGACGAGGGGCCTGAGTTTCGAATATTCGGAGGTAAAAGCAAAGCATGCTCAGTTTGGAGAAGAGGAGACAGCCGAGGTAGGTGGGTACCGTGATGAAGGTTAGGAGAAGGATGGTTGGGATATTCGCCATCGTTTCGACTTGCTCGTAGCCCGTGCCTGCAACCTGCACTATACCAGCAGTTTTTGTCAGTGTCGGTCAACAAGAATAAAATCAACGTAGGAGATACATACGAGTAACCATAAGGGCATAGACAACGCAGCTGAGAAGAAGGGCTATGATGATCATGTAGTCGTCGAGACCGAGGCCAGCACCCATGCAGCTGCGGGCAAACAATCGAAGCCCGACCACAACAAAGACGAAGAACTGAATCATAGATTCGACGGCGACATGTACCAGAATCTCATGTTTAAGCGGGAAGGGGGTGATGTGGATGGCCGTCGGTAGTTGGTCCATGGCTGCGGCGGTTGGGCGATGCTGTCGCCAGACTGTGAATGCGGCTGACCTATTCCAGAGGTTCTAACAGCATAAGACATGCTCCCAATTCGATGACTGAGGAGAAACAGCATCTTTGAACCTTTCAGCCCACTCGCTTGCAGTGGCCCTTGCTCAAATCAAGCGCGCATTAAGAGTTGGGATGGGCACTATACATTCCATATTTGGATTCAGCACGGTTTGAGTACTCTCTACAGGGTTAAGACCATGGTTTGGGGCTAGGCTAGGGTTTACAGGGTTCGCACCGGTTGGGCAACGGTCGGACGGGATGCCGTTCATCTACACGCGGCACGGTCTAACGGTTTTCTCACGAAATCTCACTCGGCCAGGCTGGATTGAGTAGTGAGCGGCACCTAGAAACGTACAAGCCGCTTGGTAATCTTCTCCCAAGCCGGCGTTATCCCTTTCTGGGTTTGAATCCCCCCTCTGTGCTAATACTCCACCACTCTGTTAAGAACCTCGTTGTATCAAGGATTACCCTTCTTCCATCATCTTAGCGCAAGCAGCCTAAGGGAACAGCCCCATGCTCCGGGGAATCAGAGGTTTCTCAGGATTCTCTGTTTAGTGGAGATGCTTACAGTTTCACTCCGGTACAGAAGGGATTAGATTCCTCCCTTCATCTCACTGCCGATGAAAATTCTCCTGTCGACGGAAAGTTTCGAGGAAACTTCCCGCATCAGGAAGGTAACAAGAGTTGTTATTGAGACCATCAACCACATATGGCCAACATGACTGTTTTTTTCTGAGGCCAATCGTTCGAAAAGGATGCTCTTCAAGCTACAAGCTTTCTCCCCCCACGGCATTGTTCGATGAGCTACATCTGCATGGCCTCATGTGGCAAAGTCCGCCATCTAAGCGGAGTTGATAGCGCTAACCCAGACTCAGGGGCATCCAAATCACGCAAAGATTGAACGCGGAGCCTTGATAACCTTATTGGCTTAATCCTTAGGTTCCTACACTAACGCCTCCCCACAGACTCACCCAATTTCGCTTGCGTACAATCAGTCCAAGGTCGAACGCTTGCCGCGGCTGACTTCCTTAACCCTTGATGCCAAGGGTCTAGTGGCTTCATATCACTCTGTCCTAGCTATAATGGATGATACACGTACATGCCCAACATATGGCGACTGTATTGAGCCAGGTCCTTATCCGTATATGGTTGAGCCGACCCTTTTTGCTTTCTTTTCCCGCTTAGTCTTCCCTTTCTTCTTACTATGTAACATCGGCATCTACTTGACACTTGACAATACATTCATTATTCATAATGTCAGACCAATTCAGAGTCGCTATTGCAGGCGGTGGCCTTGCCGGCTTGGCTTTGGCGGTCCACTTGGAGACACTCGGAATTGACTGGATTCTACTTGAGGCTTACGAAGAGATCGCCCCTGAGCTCGGAGCCAGCATCGGCCTGCCCCCCAATGGCATGCAGGTCCTTGACCAACTCGGCGTCTATGACGAAGTGGCAGCCCAAGCAGGCACCGGCTCCTCCGTGGTAGCTTATGACGGCGATGGCAACAAGATGTATGATTTCGAGCTGCTCCCCCGCATGCGAGCCACCCATGGATTCGACCTGCGCTTTACCGAGCGCCGCACCGTCCTGAAGATCCTCTATGACAAGATCCAGGCCAAGGAAAAGGTCCACACGAGCAAGCGCGTCAACAAGATCGAGCATGTTGGCGACAAGGTCCAAATCACCACACTCGATGGCAGCTCATACACAGCAGACATTGTCATTGGCGCCGATGGCATCCACAGTCCCGTCCGTGGCGAGATGTGGCGCAACGCTGCTGAAGACGGCTCCAAGGTCTTTGGTGAGAACCCAGGAGCTGACGTTACGACCGAGTACGGCTGCACCTTTGGCATCTCAGAGCCAACCAACGACCTGAAGGAGGGTGACCTCCGTCATGTGCACAGGAAGGATGCGGCGGTTGGCTACATTGTTGGCCGAAGGGACATCGTCTACTGGTTCCATTTCTTCAAGCTCCCGCAGAAGCACATGGGTATCGACTTCCCACGATTTACTAAAGAGCAAGAGAAGGAGTTCACCGATCAGGATCTAGACCGGGTGATGACCCCGGGGACCACCTTTGGCGATGTCTACAAGAACAAGACGATCTCCATCATCACGGCCCTACCCAACCACAGATTTCCTCGCTGGCACTATCGACGCATCTTCTGTGTCGGCGATGCCGTCACCAAGTCCCAGCCCATCGCTGGCCAGGGTGGCTGCAGTGCTCTTGAGTCGGCCGTCGCTCTCGTCGATCACTTGTATGCTGCCCTCAAGGAGAATGACATGAAGCCCCTGTCCAACGAGCAGGTCGAGGATGCCTTCACCAAGACGACCGAGGTGCGAAAGGAACGTTCCACCACGGTCATCAACGAGGGTCTCCTTTATATGAAGTTTGCCTCCTGGTCCAACTTTCTATACCGCCTCATTGACAAGTACATTGTCAGGCTTGTCCCCAAGACCACAATGGTCGACCTCATGTTTTCAGGCGCCGCTGGTGGCTACCACTCCAATACCCTCCCCGCCCCTGTGGACAAATATGTGAAGGGGACTGGAGAGCCTGTTTCCGTTAAGAAGATTGAAGCAGATGATGAGAACTAAGTCACTCGGGTCTTATGAGGCCCCCCCTTTGTTACTGAGCTGTACACTATGTATATACAATTATGATATCCCTCTAGCAACTACCTGAAAGAGATACTCTTAGTGTAGATAGACTCTTAATTTATAGAAAAGCACCAATTTCCACCGAAAAACTTCTCGGCAAGTGTCGTGAGTGAAAAATGACATGGATCATGTAAAACGAGATGGCTCATGCATCAGCGTTCCATCCGGGCTGCAGACCGCCACTTTTGGCACGTGTGGTGGCATCGAGCTGATGGATATCATCATGATTCTCAGCAAATCGATAGCTCGTCCCTAAAGATCATCACTCCATTGCATTCAATAAACACCTAGAATAAGGAAAGCACATCCAATGCGAGAGCTAATCCCATAGCGTTCGTTTAAGTTCTTTTGCGTGCATACTACGGTAGCAGCAATATGTGGTTGTGAACCTCTCTGTCTTAGATCCGAATAGGATAAACTCTCCCAATGGGCCAAAGTACAGCGTCACAGTGTTACTGGAGCCGGAAGGCTCTCCGTGACAGCCGCAGCAGATGGCTTACATGCTGACCCATCGGTTGGCAAGGTACTTGATCCAGATTGCAGGGAATTTTGTGTATACGCCGCAGCGAAATAAGGGGTAGGTCAAGGGTGTACAAAGGAGCCTTGACCTTGGGCTCCGACACAATCTGGCTCATAGGCCCTTGCTTACCCCTAATGGTGGAAGTGGCGATGGCGCCTCTGCAACTCTACCAAGGTCTACATCGAGATATCAGCGCAGTGGTATAGACGTGTGCCTTCCTACCTTGATCATGACGATACTCCAACCACAAACAAAACCCTCTCGTTAGATATAAAGAGTAACTCTAGGGCCTACTATCATTATTCCAAGCCTCATCGAGTGTCCTATGCCTGTTCTCAAAAATGCCACCTTGTCTCATTTTGTGAACCTGCACAACTGCTCGTACGCTCAGGCGCCATGAGACGAGTGCTCAAAGGACACCGCGATCCTAGGGAAAACAGAGCCTGTTTCCATAAAGATGCATAGAATTATCGTGCAAGGTCAGGGGTATGTATTACGGACGTACCTAATGACCGCGTACGAAGCTGACTACACTGTGTACACTGCTGACAATGCCAATATAGGCTGGACTAGTCCACACTCTTACAATTGACTATGATGGTTTTACACTTTTGTTATTGCGAAGCTTCGTCAGATCAAATTGTACTTGACGTAAAGAGAATCCAAGGCTTTTTATCTATTAGCAGATCGTTACGTTGAAACCTGATAAGATCACGATAAACTCCTTCTCCAAGAGGGATGTCATCGTGTCGCCGATACAATCTTTGAGGAATCGAAAATCAATGTCGAGCACGCCTTGACCCTTAAAGCGCCACTACTGGCGGTTAGCTATCTAAAAAATATACCCATCTCCATATGGTGTATGCCAAAGAATCACATCATCCATCACAAGTGTCCCATTTTTCCTCTACCAAAAATACTCAATCGCACGGGGATAGTCCCTATGTTCAAACCGGAGATGGTAGCCATACGGTTCGAGGATCTGACGGAGCTTTCCAGCAGCGAGGGGCCAGTCGATCTCTTTGAAACTTTCGTGAAATTGAATGAAGGTGTTATCCTTGATATCTTCGCATCCATTCCACCCCCAATGAGGGGGCATGTACCATATCTTCTTGGTTTCTGGGTCGCCATACCATAGCTTCCCAAAATCCTCACAAATATCCACAATGTCCTCTCCGCACACAGGTCGGTCGAGATCGGGCTCCGTGGCGAGCCGCCGAAAGAGGCCTGTCGCAATCATTTCTACATCAACATCTTGCCCACGAAGATAATTGATTGTTAAAATCTTGATCATCTGAACAGCTCGAAACCAAGTTTCATCCGAGGAGTCCGACCAATCCGCCGTGATCAAAAGAGTAAAGCGAGGTTCCTGGGGTGCATATTTGTAGTAACGGTATACCAGAGCAATTGGGCGGTCTGGATATCCCTCGTTGACTTTAATAGCACGTGGATCTGCCGTTACATGCTTGAATTCTCTTTCGTCCGGCAGTTTGATGTCAAAAATGTCTAGTGTGTCGGCTACTTCGTTGTATAGCCGCTCCCTGTCAGATGAGCTGGCTCTGCTTTCGATGTTGTGCTGAGACGTCAGCAAGGGGAGGGGTCGGAGTAGTGGCACTCCAACACGATACTCAGCCCTATCGTATTGGAACCTCATCTTAGCTTGATATGCCAAACCCTGTCTCGATCGACAGTTAGGAGGTATTGGAGGGTTCGCTCGTACGGTCTTGGGGTTGAAACGCGTACGGCGTTAACCTCTCGTTTGTGAACGTTGAAATGGCGATTCCGAATATGCCTTAAGGGATAAGAAAAGACTGATGTAAAGGTTATAGCAATGGGCGAAAGTTGCCACTATATAAGAGCCTACGACATTGTTCTATTCATCTTGGCCAGTAGAGTTGAAACCGTGCATGCAGCCTTTGTCTTTTGTATTGAGACTCTCAGCTTTGATAGAATGTTAGTGTTCCTCCAAGGATTGTATTGCCTTTGTTTGGTAAGGAGTCTCTGTCCTTTCATTGAACGCGCGAGCCGGAGGAGCAAAAGTACAAAGCCAATTGACAAGCTTTGAACTTTTGAGCTCCTCTAGTATTCTCAGCAAGAATTCCTACAAAATGGTTTAAAAACGGCATCTCTGTTTTCTCTCACACTTGATAGAGTACCAGAATTACACAGTGGCTTGGGTATTCCAGTTAAGGTAGCGCATGTACTCAGAATGAATTTGCCTCAAGAAAAAAATCCAGGTCAACCTCCCGTCTAGTTATAGTCATATAAGAAGCTGGAGCTAGTCTACGATAAAAAGTTGCATTCTTTGTAGATTTGGAAAAACAAAGGCGGACGTGCAAACAATGGACAAGTGGAAAGAGGTAGTAGGCAAATGAAGGAGATAATAAACAAGTATGGGCCCAGACGTCGGGAAGGGTCCAATGTGCTGATAGATGTTTGTCACCGCTTTTATTTCTTTTTTCCTTTCAAAGATAGGTTTAGCCTCATAGAAACTCGAGTAGAAGGCTCTAGAAAACTTATATATGAGTGTCTTGTGTATGTTGACTAATTCTCGGCATATGGCTAAGCGCCCTCTTCGAGAAGAGATGTAGTCGCATCGCCTATACATTCTTTCAGAGATCGGAATTCAATTCCAAGCACATCCTTAGTCCTTGAATTATTGTAGCCGTAGACATCCGCGGGAAGGTCGTCAATGGGATTCTGGGCCAGCCGGGGCGAAAGCTCTGGGTGTGTTTCCCGAATGGCATCCACGATGCGCTTGTTTGTGTAGTGTCCAGCAGTTACAAAGAAGCGCTTCCCCCCAGCCTCGGGTATCTCGATCGCCTTTACGTGGGCTAGTGCGAGGTCACGTACATCTGTGAAGAGGTAGTTCCGAGTGGGCGGCAGCTCGTTGTCCTTATGTTTGCCCTGGATAAAATCTCTGATGCGCATGTTGGATGTGTTCAGTCGGCTCAAGCCCCCGAGATGATGGACTACGGGGCCGTAGACCATTGGGGGATTCAGTGCAACAACGTCGAAGTTTGGTTTCTCCTTTTCAACAAAGTCCCATGCCGCACGCTCTGCAAAGGTCTTCATTTCATTGGGTCAGCCCTGAGTCCACTGGCAGAGGTGAATTGAGCTGATTATTGTGTCTTACTTTACTTCCGCGATAAGTCAATGAGTGGTCATTGACTGCCTCATCCCATGTTACAGGATTCCAAATCGTCTCATCATAGATCTTTGGTGGAGACTTATGGTCAAGCATTGCGGCAAAGGATGACGTGATAACAACACGCTTTACACTGGGTGCGAACTTCTTGACCGACTGTAGAATACCGCTGGTTCCGTTTACCGCTGGCTCAAGCACATCCTTCAACGGCTCTTCAAAGCTTGCTGGAAATGGAGATGCCGTGTGGATGACATAGTCGAAAGGGGCGCCGGGTTGGTTGGCCAAGGCCTAGAATCAACGTACGATTAGCCACTACGGCTTCTGGCTCATTCGTATCGTAAGGTTTCTCTCAACTAACAGTGTCAAATGCATTCTTCTGAGATATGTCGCTCACGATGGCATAGGAGAGCCGGGATTGCGCTACGCCATCCGTATGTGCCGCCAGGATTTGGTCTCCTTTCTCCTTTGATCGGACGGTAGTCACGACAGTGTATCTATATCACTAGTAAGTATATCATTCGCAGTATCTTCTCCATCAGAGTCCATACCCGCGATGCAAGAGGGCATTTAGCACATGCGCAGCAATGAAGCCGCTTCCACCTTAGAAGAGTTAGCCAAAAGCTTCCCTCAAAGGTAGGATCGTCCGTCAACTTACCAGTAAGCAGTACCTTAGCCATGGTTGAATTTTGCGAAAGTTTAGTTATCTGATGAGCATTGCACTCGGTCCCCGCTGCTCTTTTGTATGTTTGGTCCAGCACCAAGCTCCGGAAACTCCGATTTCTTCTTGCGGAAGTGGAGACAACAGCTCCGGATGGTGTTGATTCTCGCTATTATCGGAGTTTAGCTATCTAAGGCGAGAAGTGCGATCCGTTGCAAGTCTGAACACGCTTATCAATTCATTACTCATATGTGGTAACCAACTCTAACTCTGACAGCTGCAAAATCTAGCCTTTTCTTGCCGGTCGCGCCTTACAGCATGTGGCGGATATCCGTGAAGGTCATTCTTGTTCGTTCGGAAAACACACCGGAGCCGGTCGGCAGCTACTGCTCAGGCATAGGCACCCTTGAGAATAATTGCCGTAAACGCTGGAATTTGTCTCGTCTGCTAGCTACGTGTTGTGGATGATGGTGACAACGGGCATATGCCAGGCATATGGACTGGAACAATCAATAATAAACACCTCTTCTACCCTTACAGACATATCATTAGAAACAAATCCGTGAGCACGTCTCCGTCTGGACTCTAGCGATTGAGCAATTGCGAATCACAATTCTTTATTCAAATGGCTTGTCAGTGCATAATTCTGGCCAGGTTCCACACGCTCCGACTCCTTGGGTAGAGGAGACGTGGACCAGGTCGCCAAAATGAGGTTGCTTGCTGCGCATCAATGATAATCCAGGATCAGGGGAGCTCGGCATGGGCCAAGCATGCAGATGGGCTCTCTGAACCTGGCCGTGCTTCTTCCATGAGGCAGATTTGGTAGGCCTAAAGAGATTTATTAGATCGATTGATGTACAAATGCCTGCCTATGCCTAAGTCTATGGCCTGAATAGAATCAAGAGATAACATGTCAATGCAACAATTATTGACAGGAACGATTCTGCTGGGGGTATGGAAAATTCCGCGTTGGCGTATTTGACAGTTTTTACCGCGCGGCACTCCATTTTACCGGTTGTGTGGCCAGTGCTCTTGAAAATGAATGACGACACCAGGCCCTCGGATAGGAGATGACCGATCAAAGCATTTTCCAAATGGCATCAATGTTTCGTGACGGAGCAACCCATGACGAAATGCTACTCGTCCCTGGTCAACACATGGGTAGGAGAAAAGATGTGGGGTTTATTATTTTAAATCCTAAAAAGCAAGCAAGTTATCCCGGAGTCTATCTTATCAAGAATATAGCTTGCTTTCCTGTGACAAGCTCAGGATGGATGCTCGGATGAAACCAGGCGCTGACAATAATACGGTGCCATCGCGACATCCTTCGGGCACGAACGAAACTTCGATCCTGCTCCCAATGTGCTCGTGGATTTTTCACCGTTTCTGGCAAAAATTGTGTTGCTGATTCAGCTGGGTTAGCCGGCTTGGCAGGTCAGGTAAGGGGTAAGGCCCAAAAGCCAGGGGTAAGGGGTCAGGGGGCATCGGAATATCTGGACACTACGGATCAATCTTGCGTGACTAACTGGTTTCTGGTCTAGAACGCTCTCAGCCACGCACTGCTGAGCAAAACAAAGCGTGGACAGCCTGCAGATTGGGCGCTTCCAGCCTAATCCAGCGCGGTCCGTTCACGGTCCTTGAATTAGTGGGTGAAAAGCAAGCAGAAGCAAATCTAAGACACGGCGGGGAGACAGAGGGACTTGTGAAGGCTACAAGTCACATCGTATTCTCGAATGAGCTGGGGGCTGACTGTTACAACGTAGCAGTGTCTCCATGATGGCTGACACTATTAATAGGGTCACCTCGTAACGTGTTTTCATAGGGTGCCGCTTTTCCCAGCTCACCAATCAAGGACACACGACGACACGCCACCAATCACCACATAGTTTCAGCTTAGTCCACTACGTTGTTGCTAATGTAGGTCTGGAGCAATGGACTGCTTCCCCAGTCCAATAGACTTACTAAAGTTGGCTAAAGGCGGCCTGTGCCTGCATAAGGCATGAAATAGAGCAAGTGTGGAAAAGACGGTCGACGTTCCCAGGCCTCTTAAAGGCAAGGCCCCTCTCGTCCGTTTTTCTCGCTTCGATCCGGCCCTCTTGACAGACACATCATTGCCTGTTTGGTTCATTCACTCTTTTGTTTGGTGATCTTTGCTTCATTCATTCATTCTTTCGTTCATTCATTCACTCGTTGTTCTCTATCCAAGATGCATCCACGCTCGTTCCTTACAGTGCTCAGCACTCTCGGCTTCCTGACTGCCGGCATCGACGCCCGCCGAACCCGAAGACGCTGCTCGTCTGTTTTCCCTTCTTCTTCCTCCGCCCTGGGACCTGAGGGCAGCAGCAGCACCATCATCGCCACTCCCACTTCTGGCTTTGTCACCTCAACTCGCCTGTCGAGCGCTTCTTCCACCAGCGTCGTGGAGTCGACCTCTGCCGTGGAATCGACCACGGCCGTTGTGTCTACTACTTCAGCTGTTCCATCCACCACTTCCGCTTCCGCGCAATCTACCACCAAGCCCTCCTTCGACCCCATCTACACTCCCACCAACCTTCAGCAGCTCACCTTCGGCCAGAGCCTTGACATCACCTGGGGATATGACGCTGCTTGGGCTGGCAAGATCGACATCAAGTTGATCGGTGGTGCTGACTCCAACACCCTCGTCCCTCTTGGCACCATCGTTTGTAAGTTTTCTGCCCCTTAGATCTGCCGTGGTGTTGACAGCAAGCTAACCATTTTCTAGCTGGCATTGAAAACAGCCTGGGCAAGTACACCTGGACTCTCGACCAGGACTGGATCGGTTCTTATGCTCTTTACGGCATCACCATCACCTTCGAGGACGGCAAGACGGTTCAGTACTCCATGCCTTTCAAGGTCTCGGGTGGCGGCAGCACCACTCCCACCAACCCTACCAACCCACCCGTCTTCAACCCCATCTACACCCCTACCAACCTCCAGCAGCTCACCTGCGGCCAAGTTATCGACATCACCTGGGGATACGATTCCTTCTACGCCGGCCAGCTGGAGATCACCCTCATCGGTGGCACCGAGCAGAACCTCCAGTTCCCTCTCGGCGTCATTGCCAGTAAGTCATGAAACCTAACTCCATATACCCGTGCGAACCAAAGCTAACCACCATCTCCAGCCGTCGACAACAGCCTCGGAAAGTACTCCTGGACCATCAACAACAACTTCGTCGGCGCCAACAACATCTATGGTCTCAGCGTCAAGCTCTCTGGCACCAGCTACCAGCAGTACTCGATGCCCTTCCACATCACCGGTTGTCCGCAATAAGATACTGGCGGCATCATGTTTAATAGGGGTGATGTAATATCTATTATTTAATTCTTCCCCAGGATTCTCTTTTTACATTTCTTTTTCTTTTTGGGTAGACAGTAAGACGACAACGTCTTGTGAGATGAAAAAGGCCTTTGCCCACGATGATCTTTTTAAAATGAAAATACGGGTTTCTCCTACGTTGTTCCATGACTCGAGTGACAATTTCTTCCACGCTTCCATGTGTTTCCCGCCACCGGATTTATGTTTACCTAATTGTAATTGTAATTCTCAAGATCGTCCGCCGTTAGGTGTTTTAGACTAAGCTTTTAATAAGGATAGCGCTAGACTTAGGGACAGGCACGATCTTCTCGGCAATAACTTGGAGTGGTCAGACCTCCACAACATAACTGCTATCAATCAGTAATTGACGCCGATATCTGCACACAATATCGTTAGTGACTTCGCCAGGGTATTAGAAACTACCCAGACTCAATGTAGCATTTTTATCTTCTCACCAAAGAGGGGATAGTGTTGGTTATCTGGCTTTTTTGAGTGTGTTTGAGGAAAAAGATATTAACCTTACGTGAATTCCTGGATAAGTTTGAAGTATTTCAAGTAAGAGGTTTTCACCTATTTTGTTGCGAATAGAAAAACATATTTAAAAAGCAAATTTCAAGCTCATAATTTTATTTCTCTTCAGATCCAGATGTGAAATCCTTGCTAGTATGCCGCCTCATGCTGGGATGCCGTTACCCAGATGTTGATGAGGCTATAGGGTAGGAGAGAAGTGAGAACGCCAAGGATCAATTCGATCGCCTCAGTCCTCAGCCATCAGGCTTAGCCCTGTTGACACAAATCCTGCATGAGTTATTTTCACGTTGGCCTTTGGTGAGGATGCCCGAGTAATGGGTATATTTATGAAAATTTGGTTGTTGTTTAACTTTAAATGACACGCTTGACGCCACGTGGACACCCGTCAAGTGAAGAGGGTTCACATTATCACACATGGCATTTGTAGATGTTCACGGGGTATTTTGGAGTGAGACTGCGTGGTAATTTGAGTCACCAATGTCGCAGCGCCCATGGCTTGAATTTATTAAATCGATGGCTGAGACAAAGGCATGGTTAGGCGAGGAGGCCCTTGCACCACACTTTGCTGGTGAATTGAAACTTTGACATTGACCCGAGTATGTATAAATTCGAGCTTCGCGGGCAAGGGAAAAATTAAAAGGATGTATAGCTAGATGATGCCATTGGAGAGAGGGTTGCTTCACGTAGGTAATCTACGGGATGAGGCTCCGTTTTTAGCCTCGGATCGGCCGTGGTTTTCTAGCTGTAAATAGACGGAAGGTTTCTATTCATTCGATGAAATTTTGGGCTTTTAAGTAATCGTGAAATACTTTATTAGATTTACATCTGGCTGCCTCCTGTTGTAAGTGCGCATTCCATCTTGACGAGGCTCTGGCCACCACCCTGCTCCTGTTGTGGGCGTGTTGGCCGTCATCAGCTGACATGATTCCACTGAGCAGGGGTTTGTCCAAACCATTTGCACGCTATCTGGCTCAAATGTAAGCATCGACCATCTGTAAAAAAATAAACCGATCCACAATTTGCGCTGTTCTTCTTTTCCATCTTTGCTCAACCTTATCAGAGACGAAACGATGCGGTAGGTTTATCGAGACGCCTCGCGTAATGAGGTCGTAATAGTCAACGATGACTGCCTTCCGATATGAAAAATCT